ATTTCAACATTTGCACATCCACAATAATAAATGTTTATACAAAACCCAGCCTCTCTGATTACCACAGTCTGAGAATGAAGTGCTCTGTTGGAATAATATGAGGTCTTAAAGATTTGATGGGCTTAATCGTGTAAGACATGTGAGGAGAAGGATCTGAAATTCAATTCAGTGAGACAATGAAGAGAAGCTATTATTGGAGAAATATGGTCTCTCTTTATCATCCCTGTTAGTACTCTGGTTGACCAACTGTAGGCTTTGAATTACAACAGTCCAGCTTATAACTAGCAGCATCACTCTGAGTTGGGATGTTTATAATTTCAGAGCCACTGCACAGATGAAAGAAAGCAGTCTGACATTTTTGTTTAAGATGCACTTTGAAGGACACATCCTGGTCAAAAATGACTCCAAGATTTCTAACAGTGTTAACAGAGGTATTCATATTATGTGGTTAATGCTTCTGTAAATTTTGTTACAGCCCTTTCATATGTAAAAATAAACAAATAAATATATATTTATATAAAAAAATATATATTTATGCCATCACATACCCAACAATCTAAGCTAATATATATTTATATAATAAAATAAATATGTAAAAATTGTGTTGTTTGTATGTGTCTTTCTTGCTGCTGTTACACCTAAATTTCCCCTTGTGGGACAATTAAAGGATGTTTCTATTCTATTCTTCTATTCAGAAAAGCATCTTTTTCCCCACTGCTATGTAATCTATTATTTTAAAATTAAATGTTATTAAGAAATATTCAGACAAAAGACGGTTTTCAGGGGAAAAAGTGGTGGGTGGGCTCATTTACATCTTGAGAAAAGCCAATTGAATCTAATAATGAATTGATTACGGTGTTAAGGCTGTTATTTTCAACATCTACATGAATGTTAAAATCACCCACTGTAATTATTTCATCAGAACTGAGTAATGATTCAGATAAAAAGAGAAGACAGAAACTCTGAGTAAGGATGACAGATAAAAACAACATGTATTCTTGTAGGGTCTCTTCCTTGTAATATAAAGTGACTTGAGGTGGTTGCTAATTTGATGCTGAATTAAACTGAACTACTCTGGTTTTTGAGAGAGAGAGAGAGAGAGAGAGAGAGAGAGAGAGAGAGAGAGAGAGAGAGAGTGTCAGTTAGGGTGTACAAGGCAGGCTTGGCTATGACTATCTAGATCCTTGGTTTATTACTTACAAAGCTGGTGAAAAACTGCTACCACTCCTCCTCCTCCTCACCCTGTGCTTTAAGGTTGGCAGTAAGAATGACTCAGGGGTGTTGATTGATTTAAAATAACATTTTTATCTTGCTGGAAAATGTTTGACTATTTTTTTGTTGAAGTGAATTCTTCAGTAGTAGAACACATCTGTTCAAGTGCTTGTTAATGCAAGTATCTAATGAGATGCAACAACACTTAGCCACTTGATGCATAACACATACAGACACAATCAAGAGGACCTGCTGAAATTCAAACTGAACATCACAATCACAGGTGATATAAGTGACTTTGATTGGGGCATTGTTGTTGGTGCCACGGACCAACAAAACCAAACCAAACCAGACCAAAACTGAGTTTCGGAAAATGCTGATTTTCCTAAACAGCTCTCTTGGGTTTGTCCGGGGGCCTGTAGGGCCTTAATAATAATAATAATAATAATAATAATAATAATAATAATATTCTCACAAGCCTTATTATTAACACGGGGATAAACTTGAAACACGAGGAAAGTATGCATGGCGTGGCGAAACTGAACAAATGAGAATACAATTAGCAGGGAAACAGAAGAAGCTGGAATCTACGGTAATGGGAGATTACTGGGTCAGAGTGGCTTACTTAGAGACAGACGGTGGCAGGAGGACAAGCAGGCGTGTGCAAAGGGGAGTTATTCCTGAGCGGAGGTGCGTGAATCCTGTCTTCGAGACCAGTGTCCAGAGAATGCGAGTGGATAAGGAGTGGGATGGTGACGTGCCGAGAACACTGGAGGCACAAAGAGTTACCAGCGTGGTTAGTTGACGAGCTGGCGGAGAAGAGATGGTGACGCTAGTCTTAAATACCGTCTCGCTTATCACTGAGAAACAGGTTCAGGTGAGTTGCGCAGGTGAGACGATGAGGGCTCCGCCCCAGGGCGGATACTGGAGAGTCATAACAACAACAATGGAAAGGTACCGGAAGCTTACCCAGACTATGACAGGGTTTACAGAGGATGGTTCAAACAAATTAAAAAATATCCTGTGAGGAGCAGTTCTCTGGTTGGAAATGCTTTATTGATATCAAAGGTCAGGTAAGAAAGGCCAGGCTCCTTTGACCTGATAGGCAGGCAAGAGCAACTCAAATAACCACTCGTTACAACTGAGGTATGCATAGCATGTAAAATATGTCAAACCTTGAAGCAGATTACAGCAGCAGCTTGTCAGACAAGAACAGAACAGTGAGGTTACAATTCACAGACTCACTAAAACGGCACAATCAAAAACTAGTCGGGTCTGATGACTCAGGAGATGGAACGGTCAAAATTTGGGGTAAACAGCATGAAAGAATAGATCCATTCTGCATGATTCAGGCTGCTGCTGGTGGTGTAAATGTGTGGGGGATACTTTCTTGGCATGCTTTGGGCCTGTTAGTGCCAACTACGCATTGATTATACCATGTCAATCTATGCCACAAATAATAAAGGCAGTTATTAAGGCAAAAATGGTCCCAACGCAGTACTAGCAAGGTGTAACTAATGAAATGGCCAGCGACATGATGGTAAACAAGTCAGAAAATAAATATAAAATGTTTTTTGGTTTGTTTGTTTGTTTTTTTTAATTTCAGGGATTTTGTTTTATTGTTATTGTTGTTGTTTTTTATTTAAATATTGTATAGCGATGGTAACGACTATTAAATCTCAACTAAAATGTTTTTTGCAACTTTTCACAGTAAGTTGCAGTATCTTCACGTCCTACCAGGGGGCGCAGTTTACACGTTGCAATTGACATTTTTGTCACTAATTTTGGAAGTTACTGCTGTTGCTGCAGCAGTATGCCAGCAGAAGTAATAATGACCTGAACAAAGGCAGTACATAGTTCATAGGATTACACAAAGAACAAACATGTGTTATTTGAGTAATGACTGGGTGTGCCCCAGTGCAGCTTCACCTCCAGCATCCCGTTTGTTTGAACACAACAGTGCAGACGGATAAATCCACCGTCACCGGCCTGCCCAATGAGAAGAGCGGGGGGCGTTCCTGGCGTTATTTCTCCGCTGGCGAGTGAACCACAACAAACAACGAAGATACACCGGATGGCAAGTAAAACAGACTAAAACACACATCAGGTAAGCGGTTAGCGGAATGTTAAACGAACGTCTGTTGGATATTTAACGACTTCGACAACTGGCGAACCGTCGATCCGTGCGGGTTTTAATTAAATGTCTGAATTACGGTTGGGAGCCTACAGTCGACGCAGAATACGGGTTTTCAGAGTGTGTTTACATTTTTAAAAAATGTATAAGCTAAATGTGCCTCTTGTTTGTAAGAATAAAGGCGTAAAACCCGCTTTCCTCCGGCCGGTACTGTGTGTCCTCGGCTAGCCTTAGCAGCTCAGCAGCAGCAGTAGCAGTAACAGCATGGCGGCCTGTGCTGTGTGTCGTGTATGTAGACAACAGCCTGGGTGAGTCTGGAGCATTTCTTTATACTTTTATGTTGAGCAACCCTCAAATGAAACAGCGTGAATATCCAACGGTGTGGAAAAAGGCAACTCAAACATGACGGTGCTATACGTGTTGAGAAACACCGGCCTACTTTACGGTTTAAAACAAATAACTAGAGTTCTTTATTATGAGGATATTAGTTCAAGCAGAGCTGCCAGTTACTGCTCGTTTACTTAAGTGTACTCACATGAAATCTTAGTATATTTGAAACTATAGCTGGCTTATTAATACTTCAGCAGTTCTTTGATATTAGTGTATGACAGACCGATATTAACCACTTTATATAACACGTTTTCTTATATTATTATACTTGAATATGGTACTGTGCTTATTTACATTACATTTACATTACATTATTATTTACAACTGCTGAGTAAGTAGTGTTTTAAATACCAGAGAAACACATGGGCCTAAATTCCAACTATTTTATCATCAGTGAGACCGAACACAATACAGAGACACAGAGCAGGCAGATAGCAAGTGTGTGACTTGCATGTCCAAAGCCCCCACTGGATGCCATTGTTTTGACAATACATAGTCAGAAAGCCATGCCAGCACTGCTAAAATGAGCAAATACCCTAAGAGAGCTGGACAATTTGAAACTGGTTGTAGTGGGGAAAAAATAAAACGCACCGGTACCAGTGCCCAGCAGCATCTGTTTTAAATGAGCACAGCCCTAAAAATGCCTCACACTGCAGTAAATGTACTTTGGAAAATATGGAGCAGATTTTTCCTGTTCAGTGAACACGTCTGCTAGTCATTAGAGTCAGATTGATTTGACAAAGCAGTCTTAAAGCAATAATATTATTTAAAAAAACAGATTGTTCACATATTTATAACCTTGAAGAAGCACATCACACAGCAAAGCATATTTATGAGTCCTCAAGTTATGTCTGAATTATGACTATTAATTCCTAGTTATGGCATTCTATGAATGTAAAGCCGTAGTATTTTGTTGGAAAAATAGGAAATAGGTAGAGTGATTTATTGAAACATGCACACACATACATGGAAATACAGTATGTAAGATAAAAACAGAATTTGTGCAGTTCTGAGAAGCTTTAAAGTCAACACTTGGAGCTGTTAACAATCTGATGTTTTCCAGATGGTATTTTCTGGTGGATTGAAGTCTGATTGTAGTTTTTGTATTTATAATTCCATCAGTTTCAACAAACTGGTGAAATGCAGCCCCAAACCATGACAGAGCCTCAGCCATTTTACACTAGACACTCACTGTTTTACTTCTCTTTTGACCTCCTCCTCACATACTGATTTTACATTTTAAATTTGGATTCATCACTTCATATAACCTGTTACCATTCAGTTTCAGTCCAGGTCTTGTATAATTTGACACACCTCGTTCTTTTTTCCATTCCTTAACAAAGGGTTCTTGACAGACACCCCTCTTCTGAGACCATTTCTGATAAGGCTTGAGTGAACATTAGATCAATTGCAGGTCCTGTATCAGGTCTTTGGTGGATTTTTTTCCCCCTATTTCTAATGGACATGACTCGACTCAGATGCTGTTCATCTGTTGCAGACAGTTTTTTCCCCATAGCTGTAAAAGGATGAAAAGAGTATTGTCATCATGCTGCCTGGTGGATGGGTGGTGTGGATACAGAAGTCACACTTGAGGGAATGTGGAATTTTGAATTTTGGCTTTTCCACTTGTCTGGTTTCCTTAAAGGTTTTTAGAGGATACACTATACACCATGTTGAGATACTCTGAAGTTTTTGGCTAATAGCTCTTTGGAAACCACATTGTTGGTGCAAAATTGGTACTTAAAGTTGTCTGTTATGTACAGAGACAACACTAGGTCATCCCTGGATTTAGTTACATTTCTTTTTTTTTCTAAAATCTTGAGTTATTCAAAGGTCACTTAAAGGAAGAGAAAAAACACTTTAAAGGATTCAGCTGCAATGACTGGCCAATGTCCAAAGAAAGACTTTGAAAGCCTGGAGAATTACTGCTCAGGACCACTTTAAAAAATGACTAGAAAGTCTGTGTCCTTAAAAGCAATTTAATAAATAACTGAAAGATAATGTGTGAATTATGCTTCAGTGGGAAATCTGTGTTGTAACCATATTGCGTCTCTGTTGAGAAGAAACCAGCAACTCATTTTAAACCTTTGTCATAACCTTCTGTGTAATCTGGCGTGCACCTAGTGAGAAATGTAACTACGTGTCATGTCGACAAAGCCCACAACAACTTGAATGGCGTGGTCGCTTGCAGTTAATAGGAGTTTCCAGTTACATCATAGATTTCCCACTGTAGTCCAAATCAAGCATAACTTGAGGCAATTTACTATCTCAACGGTCTCATGTACGGAGTTTGTTTCAGTCTATACCAGGGGTGTCAAACTCAAATACACAGTGGGCCAAAATTCAAAATTGGAACAAAGTCGCGGACTAACATTAATATTTATTGAAAAAAAAATCTTCCTCCAGATATGAGTATGAATCTTTTCTTATGGACTCAAACAGGTTTTTGTGAAAAACTGAATATGGAACAAGCAAAGCTTAATACTAAACAATATATATATTAGCTGTATAATACCAGTAGGTCAGCTCTAATAGTAATTTGATATGGCTTTGCGGGCAAATGTAATTAGGCTGCGGGCCAAATTTGGTCCGCGGGCCAGAGTTTGACACCTATGGACTATACAAATTAATATTTTATACTTTAAAAAGAGCAAATAGGTCAGTATTTAGAGGTTGGAGAGGTAGGTGGTAGACACCATAGTTTGCACCAACTCCTGTTCCCTCCTCCCCCGACAGGAAAGACTTGTACTTCAGTTGTATCAGTTTGATTGGATTATTATCTATTAGAAAGTACACATTTAGGGTTGGGTATTAAAAACTACTCATTAGATTTAGGAAAAAGACTGGTTTGAGTTAAAATACAGCAGTTCCCGCTTCTTTTAAAACTCTGTTTCCTTGGTTGTCACTGTGACAGTAAAGTCGTACTGACGGTGGAGAAAAGAATGTGACAGTTTGTCTGCGTGACCATGAGCAATTCAATTACCTTTTCATTCCTGTCACATTTTGCCATGAGAGTGGTCTAAATATTTAATTTACAAATGTGTTAGTTAAATGTATTTTATACAACATTGAAAAATAGAGAAGAATAGAGTCTGTGTTTGAATTCCAACAGATTTACAAAAGACTTTTGTAATGAAGTTTGTTTCCCTGGGAAGTGTTTACTGGGGTACATCCAGATCTAATTTTACATCCAAATGGCTCTCTGGCATGTGGTTAGTCAGCATGGCGTGCTGAACTTGTGCAGAAGTTCCTCTCTCTGTATGTTTTTTTTTTTTTTCTGCTGATTACAGACAGCTGCAGCTATGGGCAAGACCCAGTCACTCTTAGCTAAGCAAAAAGACGAGAGTCAAGACGCTCTGACGGAGTATGGGGGGATTCATACGGAAGAGGATGGAAAGAATGGAGATGTGTCTCAGTTCCCCTATGTGGAGTTCACTGGACGGGACAGCGTTACCTGCCCCACATGCCAGGGCACTGGCAGAATCCCTCGTGGTAAAACTTAGCTGTTAAATGTTTAACTGTTAAGAGTTTTTTTTTTTTTAAAAGCAGAGATATCAAAGTACCCATCTGTACAAAATACCCATGAATCAAGTTGAAATTTACAAGAATACATCCTAATTTATTATAAACCTTTAGTAATGGCTTAATGATTGCTGTATGCATTTGGTTTTATCAAGTTTGACTGACAACTCTGCATTATAAGGAAACATGCAATCCAACTGCTTGCACATTTTCATGCAAGTGTTGCTTGCCTTTGCATCACCCTTTTCCACATGTCACCTCAATTTCCAATCAATAAGAAAAGCAAGGACAAAAACGGAAATATTGCTTACAAAAATTGTTATAACTTAAAGTCGAAAGTTATAACTTAAAGTCGTAGTTATGTTCTTAAGACCACAGTTCTTTGCTTGGCAACTATTAAAACTGGCTTGGCCTGCACTTGTTTATCAGTCATCCCAGTTTTGATCTAAATTATTTTATTGATATTATCAAGTTGTCTCCCATTTGATATGCCCTACTTCAAAGAGGTGGTTTAATTACGTAGGTGCCACCATTAGAAATCGAGTCAAGACCTGAAAATTGGAATTTTAAGTGAGAAAAATAAACTAGGCAAAGATTCTTCTTTGGATGTAGTTTTAAAGCAGTGATGCGAAATCGATTCCAGCAGTTACACTTTTTTTTTTATTAAACTCATTCAACAGGTCAAGAGAATCAGCTTGTGGCTCTGATTCCATACAGCGACCAAAGGCTCAGACCAAGCAGGACGTAAGTCTGCATTGTGTGCTCTTTTTATAAATTAGCTGCCTTAGCTGTGCGTGTGATGACACAAAATGAACACACAGCAGCACAACAGACTTTGAAGCCAACAGCTGGTTTCAGCTTTTGACTTCTCCTTTCAATCTCCTGCAGAAAGCTGTATGTCACAATATCAGTCGCTCTGTGCCTGCTGCTGTCTGGCCTGGCAGTTTTCTTCCTATTCCCTCGCTCCATTGATGTCTCCTATGTGGGAGTGAAGTCTGCCTATGTCTCCTATGACCATGACAAACGAATTGTCTATCTCAACCTTACAGTAAGTGTGAGCACTTTATAATAAATAATACATAAAATATATACAAAATAGAACTTTATTAATAATCTAACTGAATTTGCTGATAGTATTGCATCAGTAGAATACTGCATGGTTTAATTCTTAATTTTTGAATTACGCATTTTTCAAAATATTTAAATTGATGCTAGCATGCTTAGACAGGAAATGACCATTGACAGCTCCAAATCAATAATGTTTGCTAACAAGTTTACCATATTAACTACCTTCTTTTCTCTAGAACACACTGAACATCACCAACAATAACTACTATGCCATAACTGTGACCAACATCACAGCCCAAGTGCAGTTCTCCAAGACTGTGATAGGGAAGGCCAGGCTTAGCAACAGCACAGTGATCATACCACTGGATGAACAGCAGGTAGGTTGATATACGTTTTCTGTGTTTAGACCACTTTTCTCACATACTTTCTCCGATAAAATCTGGGTTCTCCTAAATGTTGAAATCCTCTTGAATCACATATGATGCGTTTTTCTCTCAGGAAACTCACATGATTTGCACTAACCTCAAACTTTATTATGCATAAATGGAATTTGTGAATCAGTCGGCTTTGTTTGTTTTTCTGAATTTTCCAGGTTCTATGAAACAGCCTACATACACAAACACTCTTGCATACAATTTCCACTTACCACAACTTGGCAATCCACAAGCTAATTCGAGGTGTATGTGTGCATCTAAGACCAGGTTGATGTTAAAGGCGTCAGTTCACTATGTCATTCCTATTGTACTACTGCAGCACCTTCTTACTGTGAAAACACAGTACAGAGTGAATAAAGTAAAGGTCTTTGTGTGAGATGAGTGTGCAGAGGCCATCTACAAAGTTCAGCTCTGGAAGATGCTTCAAAAATATACAATTCACCAAAACCATTTCACACATTACTGCTTTGTTAGTTATGGTAGGAAATACATTTTTTTTAAAAAGGGGAGAAAAAAAGGCTAAATCATTAAAATCACTACAGCATTGGTGTTCTGATAGATACCATAGCAGGCCATGTAGGAGGTTACCATTTTTCTGCACCCCAATGTCAGTATTATAATGTTGCAGTGTAGTTTGGAGATTGTCTTGATCACTTTGCTCAGTGAGGCCTAAAAATGTACAACTGAGTACAAAGTATCCCTCGCAGTTTCTGTTTTGTTTTGTTTTTCTTTTTTTATTTCTTGACTTTCTTTATTTTGCTAGTGGATTTGAAACGTGTCCAGCTGCGGCTTTTCTGTGTGCAGTTTGCATGTCCTCTCTGTGCTTGTGTGGTTTCTCTCCAGATGCTGTAGCTTCCTCTCACAGTCCAAAAACATGCATAGGTTTAGGTTGACAGGCAAGTCTAAATTAGCCATAGTTGTGAGTGTGAGCGTGAATGTTATCTCTGTGTTAGCTCTGCGATAGACTGGCGACCTGTCCGGGGTGCACCCTGGTTTTCCTCTGTAACAGCTGGGATAGGCCCCAGCCCCCACGCTGGATAAGTGGAAGAAAATGGATTTTCAAATCTAATATCTTTTCTCTCTGAATTGTGTTTACAGATTGATTACATGGTCCCCACCATCATCGCTGATGAATTGAGTTACATGTTGTGAGTATCTTATTTGAAGTCCTATTAATAAGGCATTTTACACTCAGATCAGTGTCATGTTTAATCTTTCTTGTCTCTCTTTCAGTGACTACTGCACCTTACCAACGATTAAAGTTCACAACATAGTGGTCATGATGCAGTAAGTATGACAAGATATTGAATATTTTTCTTTTTATGTCTGATACTGTGCTCAGCTGAGCATCAGTCTTTTCTCTCAGCACACTTGCATAACTTCAGCCACACACCCACACACACTGAAGATCTGCCCAGAGCAAAACAGCCTTCTGCTGTGGGGCACTGTTCAGATCAGCAGAAGCCCCGGGCCTTTGGGTGCTTTGCTCATTTACACGTCAAATCTGACATGGAAGCAGACTGTAAATTTAGCAGTTAACATTTCTCCTAATTAATTCTCTGAATCGAATGTCGGGGAAGGCAAACCGTTGGTCTCTAGCCAAGTATCATCAGTATCATTACACTGATGAATGCCAGTAAAAATGATGAGAAAAGCAGCCAATATCCTAAAACCTAATGAAGCCTTTCAGTGGTTTTATATCTAGACCATGATCCAATAAAGGTCAGTTGTGACTGTCTAATCGAGTGTCTTGTTGCAATTGAGTGTATTAATTTGCCTCTAAAAAGACTTTTTTATTTTTAAAATCCCTTCAGTCTGTCTTGAATATTTTAGGAAGATGAATCAAACAGTTGGATTTATAAGAATAACTATAGTATACATAAGAGAAAATTCTATTGTGTCGTATACACTTGTAAAAATGGGGGATGGGTCAGTTTCAGACAGAGTTTCTTATGTTAGTGAGGGAAGATGTCACTAATACTGTATTTTTTTTTTTTTTTTTTTTTTTTGTTTTCTGCGTTTGCAGCCAGTTAGAAGAAAGCTGGCTTAAAGAGTGATCTTAAAGAGTCGGGTGCTACAACAGCCTAAGGCAGAAGTTCAGTATAAGCTAAATAACGCCCCCACCCCCCAAGTGTGAAGAATGCAGAATGACTCTGAAAGAGTCCAAGAATAGATTTACTTTAAAAAGTCAGTTCTGACAGAAGTAATGATTGGGGTGGCTGTAGCTCAGGTGGTAGAGCAGGTCATCTACTGATTGGAAGGTTGGTGGTTCGATTCCTGGCTTCCCCAGTCTGCATGCCAAATATCCTTGGGCAAGATACTAACCCCAAATTGCTCTCCGATGCATCCATCGGAGTATGAATGTGTGTGAATGTTACTTAGAA